GAAATTGCTACTCTATGTTAAAGTTTTGGTGTATAGCTCTATGTGTACATATGGCAGATAGGGAAGAATAGGTACAGACAGGGTAGTAACAGCAGAGATAGGATTCATTTGCATATGTGAAGCCGATTGGTCATATGCAGATTAGCGTAGGCCCAGGATTTGAAAAGGCTGCTAGGCCAAGATGACAGTTGGAGTGAGAGAGCTGAACATTCCAAAGGGACGGAGCCAAGGTTCTGAAAGARGCAGTTAGAGTGAGAGAGTTTGAAAATAACAGTTAGGAATCTGTGTGTGAAGAGGAGAGTTGGTTTTTGAGTGCCTGTTAGAAATAAGCAGTTATGAAGRTGTGTTAAAGACTTCTGATATAGAGAAGCAGTTARTKAAATAGAGCTCGAGTTTTAAGGAMCATAAAGAAGGCTAGTGTTRCCTKAGKTCRGAATATAATTCAGCCAAGAGWGTGTAAAGCAAGTAACATGTTTGTGAMTGTGAAACATTGAAAGTTTATTCAGAAAAGTAAACCAAGTAAATGATACTGACTGTAAGCCTCAAGATTGCAACAAAACACAAATGTAACCACAAGCGTTGGAGCCAAAAGTTATAAATAAACTGTGTTACTTCGTTATATACAAGAGTGTTTCATTGCCTGTGACATAAAGCACAAAGAAAGCACACAGAAAGTCCCAGCCAATATAAAAGAAGAAACTGAATCAGTATAAGGCAGCAAAGAGGTTTTTTAAAATAAGGAAATAGTCTCTCTCTCTCTCTCTCCACACGGGATTGGACTGGATGGTTCTTGCGGTCTCTTCCAGCTCTGCGATTGTGAGCTACAAATTCTTTTATTGTCCTGAATCTTTTTCAGACTCAAGTGGCGTTTGCTGACTGTGCTGCAGAAATAAAATCTCTTTATGAGATACAAGAAAGAAGGCAAACTGTCTTAGAGTGGACGGCGACTTCTCTGGGTGATTGCACTGTGTTATTTGCCAGAGCTGGGAGAATGCCAGAAACCTGGTAAGCAAGACAAGGCTGCCTCCACTAACCTTTTTCATGTTGAAATTAAATTCTAAAATAAAATATCCCAGAACACATATATGAAACTATTTTCATGACTCAGTGACGCGTTTGAGCTCCTGTTTTGACTTCAGTGTCTTATTTAGAGCAAGGAAGGGCAACTACAGAGGTTTGGAGCAATTGTCTGTCCTCCGTCTTTCTTTCTGAACCAAAAGTGATGCTGCATCACTTATAGCTGTCATTTTGGCCATTCTGGAAGATTTCTTTTGGGGAAGAAGTTAAACTGCACTTTTTGAATCCGAGGTCTGAAACTATTCATACTTTCTTATTTATAAGAACCAGTAATCTCTTTTAATCTCTCCCAATAGGAACATGCTGGAGCTTTTCAAAAAGTACAACCGAATCCCCAGGTAAATTCCTCTTTTGGTGCGATGTCCCTAGTGTTGCTTTAGTTTTTATTGGGGACAGATTTTATACATGGTTAAATCTGGTTCTGTTTTGTTTTCTTTATTCTTCAGGCAGATCCATATGAAGTGCTATCTAACCTATTCTTATATCAAAGCAGTTTTTCTCTCAAACTAGTTTGTGCTGCTTTGCAAGTAACAGGCATTTGTATATAGAAAAGCACAAGCAGAAAACTAAATGCATTGGGTCAAAATGTAAAATCCTTCATTCTTCATTGGAAAACGATTTGGACATGGGATCATAATTCAGTGTTTATATGGTTTTTAATCTGTTTTGATAGATGGTTGTGAGTTTTATTGTTTATATGTGTAGGTTGTTTATATTTTATGAGATGTGTTAATTGTTTACCTGTGCGACATTGAAATTTTGTTGGATTTGTAAGCCTCTCGGGTCAAGAAAGGTGGGGTAGAAATAAAGTTAATAATAATGATAATAATAATAATAATAATAATAATAATAACAATAATAATAATGGAAGTGTCTGACGTGTGATCCAATACAACAGTCAGCAGAGTGGTCTTGTCTGCTGTGGACTTGTTGTGTTTCAAATAATAATAATAATAATAATAATAATATTGTGGTGTCTGTGAAATCGCACATATGGGTTATCCGCACATGCACGGAGCAGTTCAGAACCTTTGAAATCTCTTATATTGCAACATTTTGGCAGAGGCCCCACTCACTGCCAATACTGTATAACTGCCTGTGGTCGGGGCTGAACCTCCATTCCTTTTTTTCCACTGCTGAGAGGAGCAGCTTGGAACATCTCTTGTATTTCTTCATGCTCTTTCTAACATTTTGTTTCCTAACGGCTTGAATCGGACTGTCTCTCACTGCTCCCTGCTTCTCCTTGTCTTGACTTAGACTATTTTCTTAACTACTCTTGTTTTCTGCCTGCCTCGACCCAGACCTCCCTGATGACATACCCCGCTTCTCTGCCTGTGCCGACCTGGACCTCCTTGACTATGGCTTCAGGCTGGTCCTTATTTTAAAATGTCCATCACATTTTTAAAAAATAAATGTGGGACCTGTGAAGGCAAACTCCCAGATTCAGATGGCCATAGCATGTGCCTGCTCTGCCTGGGTGAAGACTTCATTCCCCAATTGTGCAAATTCTGCAAGGCCTTCACCCCTCAGGTACGCCAGAATAGGAAGTTCCACCTCAAGGCTTTTCTGTACAAACAAGCTTTGGCTCCCCCAGCCTCTCACCCATCAAAGCACCAAGCTTCTGAGGTGCCAACCTTCCTGCTGGAGGCACAAGATCTTACTGCCGCCCATGATCAGGGAGTGAGGAGCGCCTGAGAGAGCTCGCAGGTCTCCTGTGCTACGGATAAAAAAGGCAAAATATATTCTCACTCCTCCACTGCAATCGTGAAAGTCAAGGATGCTCTTAAATAGGCAAAAAAAGGAAAGGTAACCTGATGGCGGGAAGCCCTTGGGCCCTTTTCCCTCAGCACAGCCTTCTCCCTCGGCCTTGACCGTTGAACGGTTTTGGGAGGCTTCGCAGATCACACACCCCTCACCTTACCTGCAGGATAAGGTACGGGCGATCACCTCCAAAGAGATAATTGCCCGAGTCTCTCCCCCCCTCCTTGAGGATCAGGGAGTGCTTTTTTCACATTACTTCCTTGTCCCCAAAAGGGATGGTAGCTTACGTCCTATCCTGGATCTGCGTAGTGTTAATAGAGTCATCAAGCCACGGAAGTTCTGAATGGTCAATCTCTCAGCCATTTGGAGGGTGGTTTGCGACTATTGACCAATGTGATGCCTATTTACACATTTCCATTAGGAGCCGGCATCACAGATTCCTCATCTTCACATTCGGGCATAAGTTCTATTCCTTTAATGTTCTTCCCTTTGGTTTATCAACTGCTATCTGCATGTGCAGATAACCCATATGTGAGTTTCACAGATCACTACTCATGGTTACGGGTAAGCAGCTTGTTATTCTCAAGGTTGTTGGAATCATAATTGCACAGATGGAATTATATGTTAAATCAAAGTACAGTGTGGAGTCCAATGGAGCTTTCATACTACTTCCACTTGGTTTTCTCATTTGCAGTGATTTGGTTATGAATGAAGTCTTGGACTGCATTAAGCAAAGCAACCAACCGGGGCAGGCACTTGACCTAGTAAAGTTGGCGTCAGACTTCAGTTTACAATCAACTTCTACACTTGCCAAGAGAGTTCAGGAAGAATTTCAACTTTCTGAAGAGCAAACGTGAGTTTCAGCAGATTCATGAATAGTGACGATCATTTATGTCCATACCAGCCATATAAATTGTCAAATATAATGTCCAGTGGGAGCATTTTTCTTCATGTTCCCTCTTCCATTCCTCCTGCTTCATCCTTTTTTAATCATATAACTTCTGCCACACTCACACTATACAGTGGCCTCCATGTGTCTTGTATTTTTTCTTTCCTTACAGGAGGAATCTTGCTGATATGACAGCAGAAAGCAGCGATGATAGTGGGAGCGACAGTGACTAGATGACAAGCAACCTCATCCTTTCCTAAAGAAAAGGTCCTGTCAAAACAGAGATATGTAACTGCTACAGCTACAGTTCTTATGAGCACCTAAGCTCAAATTCAATGAGCAATAACATGAATTGGTATGAAACTCTGATCTGAAATGTTTTGAGACATTTTCCCTCTTTCCCCTAACATCTTAGTTTGGGAAAACAAGAACCGATCATATGGACCATAAATATAATTATGTTATGTCTGACACAACATGTGTTAAAATACATTAAACCATGTGACCATTACATGTTCCGTCTTATTTATTGTTCCTAATGTTCTCCCACTTAACCTGTCGGAATATGATAAGAGTGTAGTATTATCAGTCTGTGAGGACTAGTGCTCTAATTTTCCATTTTAATGTTTTTGTTGTGTTTGAAGCTTCTGATTGAGAAAGAACATCTGGATAGAAATAATAGCACCTAGATCAGATGCTCAGTGCTTATGTGGGCAATGTTCTCTCACAGTCACTGTGTGCACAAGCTTGTGCATTTTGGCTGAACCTTGATCCATTTCTGCTGGCCAAATTTCAGTTGACCCCCAGATCTGTTTTTGAAGGCCTCCCAAAAATGGGTGGATAGCCAAGAAATTTAGGTTGCTTACCTGTAACCCTATTTCTTCGAGTGTCCATCTGCGAAATTCACACCTATGGGTTTCCCCTCGCGCATGCGCAGAAATCCGGAACATTCTAAGTTTAATGAAATAAAAATGATTATTTGAAGCTCCGCCCCCCTCCCCGCCCCCTCGTATATATATCCCGCCGCGTGCGGGTGAGCTCTAGTTCCCCAGCGCTAATCGCAGCTAGGTCTAGAGGCATGACAGAGGGGAGGACGGGCGGGTTGTGTGAATTTCGCAGATGGACACTCGAAGAAATACGATTACAGGTAAGCAACCTAAATTTATTCTTTGTGTCCTCTGCGAAATCCACACCTATGGGTGAATAGCAAGCTACTGACCTGGAGGTGGGTCATGCCACGCAGGAGAAGAGGACGGCTCTGCCAAATGCAGCGTCTTTCTTTGCCTGTATGTCCAACTTGTAGTGAGAGACAAACGTGGAGGGAGTAGACCACGTGGCTGCTCTACAGATTTGGTCCAAGGGGACTCCTCGAAGAAAAGCTTGGGACGTGGACACCGAGCGTGTCGAGTGAGCCACGATGTGAGAAGGAGGTTCTTTCTTTGCCAATTGGTAAGCTAGTTGGATCGTCGAAACAATCCAGGAGGCCAACGCCTGAGATGATATAGGGTGGCCCAGCATGTCTTTTCTGTATTTCAAAAACAACTTAGGGGACTTCCTATAGGTGGAGGTCCTATGCAGATAAAAGGAAAGTGCCCTCTTAACATCAAGGGAGTGTAACGCTACCTCCAATGGGGAGGATGGGTTAGGGAAAAAGTCTGGCAGAACAATATCTTGTGACATATGGAAATGAGAAACAACTTTGGGCAAAAACGTAACATCGGTCCGGAGGACCACTTTGTCGTCATGGAACCTAATGTATGGAGGGTCTGAGCGTAGAGCCGTCAACTCGCTCGATCGCCTAGCAGACGTAATAGCCACGAGAAATGCCGTTTTCCAAGACAAGTGGGAAATGTCGGCAGAGGCCATTGGTTCAAAGGGCGGTTTTGACAACTGGGATAACACTAACTCTAGGCTCCACTGAGGTGAAGGAAGGGACGTAGGAGGGTGAACGTTTTTATAGCCCTTGAGGAACAACTGGATAAGGTTGTCTTGAAAAAGGGACGGCAAGCCAAACTTCCTGCGACCAGAGGAGATTGCTGCTAAGTAGCATTTAACCGAGGAAAGGGAGAAATTTTTGTTAGAAAGGGTAACAAGGAAGTCCAGTATCACCGGAATAGGTGCTGAGGTGGGCGTGTAGCCCACTGTTTGAGTAAACTTTTGAAAAGATGACCACTTATAATGATATGACTTCTTAGTGGTAGGTTTATGGGCGGCCAACAGAATTCGTGAAACGTCTTCGGATATTTTGTTTTTATTATTATATTTATTATATTATATTATTATATGTAATATTTTATTAGTATTATATTTTATATTATGTATTATTGTATATTATTATATTATTTAATATTTTATTATAATGATATGCCTTTTTAGTGGTAGGTTTATGGGCGGCCAACAGAATTCGTGAAACGTCTTCGGATAGGCTTATTGTGGTCTGATCCTCCACGCCGTTAGGGAAAGGGAGTGGAGGTCTGGATGGAGGACCAGGCCGTTCTCTATTGAGAGAAGGTCTGGGGTTGGGGTGAGGCGGAGGAACTCCTTGTTGGAGATGTGGAGGAGAGGAGCAAACCAGTGCTGACGTGGCCACCAGGGGGTGATCAGGATGCAATCCGTATTGTCTTGAATTATCTTGGCTATGACTGGAGATAGGAGAGGGAGGGGTGGGAATAGGTAAAGAAGGCCCGGAGACCATAGGAACAGAAAGGCGTCTCCTAGACAACCTTGGGATGCGTGAGGGCGGAGCCTTGCGCAGTAGAGAGGGCAATGTGTGTTTACAGGGGACGCGAACAGGTCTATCCTGGGGGTGCCCCATTTGTGGGTGAGAATTTTGAATTGTGTGTGATGTAGTTGCCACTCGTGGTTGTTCTTTGAGGACCTGCTCAGAGAGTCCGCAAGAATGTTGTCCTGGCCTGGTAGGTGGATGGCTGTGAGGAGGATGTTCCTCTGGATGCACCATTCCCAAATTCGTGTCGATATGGCCAGTAAGGTGTGAGAGCGTGTTCCCCCTTGCTTGTTGATGTAATATTTGACTGCAGTGTTGTCTGTCACAATTTGGAGTTTGCGGTTCGAAACGATGCGGACAAAAGCCCTGAGGGCCTTTTCTACCGCCATCATCTCGAGTGCGTTGATATGTAACTTTCGGTCCTGAGGGGACCAGTGGCCGCTCACTTTGAAACCTTTGAGGTGCGCTCCCCAACCCGTGTTGGAGGCGTCTGTCGTGAGGGACATGGATGGGTGAGGTTGGGTGAAAGACATACCCGATTGAACATTGTATTGCTTTGTCCACCATGAGAGGGAGTGGAGGACGGAGTGGGGTGGGTATAGGATGCGGGATTGAGATTCCCGTAGGGGGTCGAATGACTTGATGAACCATCTTTGCAGTGGCCTCATTTTTAGGCGGGCAAATGGGGTTACATTTGTGGTAGATGACATGTGTCCAAGGATAGACTGGATAGCCCAGGCCGAGGCTCGACGGGATTGTTGGAGGTTTAGGATTGCTTGCTGAAGGTTGGCGAACCGGTCGTCTGGGAGGAAGGCCTTTTGGAGGGTGGAGTCTATGACGGCTCCGATGAACTGGATTCGTTGGGTTGGAGTGAGATGGGATTTTTCCTGGTTCACAACCAGACCCAAGTCCTGTAAGAGAGATAAGGTGTAATGAATATCGTTGCATAGTTGCGTTCTTGATATAGAACAAAATAACCAGTCATCCAGGTAAGGAAAAACCACGATGTTTTGTTGGCGGAGGTGCGCCGCTATGACTGACATGCATTTTGTAAACACTCTGGGTGCGGTGGACAAGCCAAATGGGAGAGAGTTGAACGAGAAGTGTTTGTCTTGCACTGCAAAGGTTAGGAACCTGCAATGGGAGTTCCTAATTGAGATATGGAAGTAGGCATCCCGTAGATCCACTGTCGCTAGCCACGCTCCCGGTGGAATGAAGGGTAGTATGTTAGGAAGTGTAACCATGCGAAATTTGCGTGGTGTGATGAAGGTATTAAGCCTACGAAGATCCAGGATGGGGCGTAGTCCCCCGTCCCTCTTGTCTATTAGGAAGTATCGAGAAAAAAAGCAGGTGTTGGTATTGTGTGTGGGGTTGGGAGATATGGCGCCCTTTTGAAGGAGCGAGTGTATCTCCTCCCAAATCTCCTGGGAGGGTTGTGTAAGGAGGACCTTTCCAACAGGTGGGTATGTGTCAAACTCTATCGCATATCCTCTTTCAATTATGTCCAAAACCCAGGCATCTGTAGTGATAGATTGCCATGCTGGAAGAAAAAGCTGTAGTCTATTGAAGTATGTGAATGGTAATGTATGTATGGAAGGATGAATGGTAATGGTTAGTGATGTGCTAAAAGCGACGTTTATTGTTATTGGAGGGCCTGGTACCACGGTATTGACCTCTGAAGGGAAGCTGAGGCCGTCTCGGGGCCGTAGACTGGGTGTAAGATCTCTGTCGTCCTCTGTAGAAGGAGGTATTATAAGGTCTGTTGTAGTAATGAGGGCGGTAGTAGTATGAGCCCCATCGTTGACGCTGGTAAGAGTGAGGTTGTTGGTCATATTTGAAGACCGTTTGTTTCATTTTATGAGAATGTTCGAGTTGTGAATCAGTCTCAGGGTTGAAAAGTCCTGCCTCGTCCATAGGGAGGTTTTCGATGAGGGTGCGTTGTGATTGAGAAAGGATAGCAGCCCTTAGCCAGGCATGGCGACGAAGGGCCACCGAGCCTGCAATGAGTTTGCCAGCAGTGTCTGCTGTATTCCTTGCAAGATCTTTTTGTAAAGATGACAAAAGTAGGGCTTCTTGCTTAAAAGCCAGAGCCAGTGGCTGATTGGCTGGGGGTAACAGTTCCAGGTAGGATGATATTTTGTTCCATAGGGCGGTTTGATATACACTCATGTAAACCCCATAGTGAGCCATGCGTGCAAACAAGCATGCTGAGGAATAGAATTTCTTGGCCATAGAGTCAAGTTTCCTTCCCTCTTTATCAGAGGGGGAAGTCTGGTTTGTTTGGACAGGCTTTGGTTGAGCATCAGTTACAATGGAGTTTGCTTTAGGCATTTTAGAAAGCCATGAAGCTGCAGAGAGATCAATACGGTATAAATTTTCTGCCCTTTTGGGAGTTGCCGGGATCATAGCCGGGGCAACTCCAGTATTTTTCAAGATTTTTAGTAAGAAAGGGTAAGGTGGGCAACACAGTAGACGTGGGCTGTTGTTGTTCAGTAGAAGTAAAGCAGGGGTCTACCACAGTGTCTGTGGGTTCAGGTGTGGCCAGATTTAAGGTCCTAGCTAGCCTTATTAGCAGGGCAGAGAATTTTTTAAACTCTTCCAAGTTCTTGGGAGAAGGGTCAGGGTCTGGGAGGGGTTCATGTATAAGTGGAGTCTCATCTGTGGACTCCAAGTCCACTGTCTCTATTTCTTGGTGAGCCTGAATGAGGGGGTCTTGGAGTGGTTGGGGGGGGCTGGATCAATGTGTTCTTCTGGGGGATGAGAAAGTGTGGCTGTAGGGGCTGCAT